GCGTCAAGGGGGTCGTCTACAGGGAGGATGAAAGCTGGACAGATGGCTGCAGGAATTGCACATGCACGGTGGGGCTTCTCACAAGGGTGCTCGACTGCTTCTGCGTGCATGTTAGTGTGTGTGTGTCTGACCATTAAAAGGAAAGGGGAGGGGACATTCGGTTTTGTGATTGTGTGCATTTGAACATACTGGGTCTGAAATTATGTACTTGTCTCACTGTGTGTGATTATATGTTTGCAGGCATGTGAGCGAGATATGAATGTGTGCGGGCATTTGTATGAATGGGATATGCATTTGTGTCTGACAACATGCATTTTTAATCATGCATTGTTGTATTTATTGTATCGTGTGCATGCCTCAGTTGATGTGCGACTGTGTATGCAAGCGTCTGTGTGTAGACATACATTCTCTGCTCTTATTGTAAGCTGCCTTTTTGTCTTGAACCCCTGTTGATCAAGTGTGTGAAGATATGGCTTTGGGTGAGGTAGAGGTGCAAAGTGCAAGGGCACCGTTGTTGACAGCTTGTAGTATCATTATTTTCATGCACTAGCTTGAGGGTTGCCCTAGTTACCCAAGAAAAGATACTGTATTAAAAACCTCCACAGTACTCAGGATTAGACGCATCAACAGCAGTGCTTAATAATACGCTATTCTCTCAAGGGTCTACTTTGTGCTGCACAAAGTGTGAATAATTGCCAAAAGAAGAATTATAAGCGGCTGGAGATCTTGTGCTTGTACTACATCGACAAACAGATTTCACTGCCTTTCAGTCTACTCAGCTTCGGAACATGAAACTCATTCACTGCTACTGAACTGCTCCAACCAGCCAATGAGATGACTTTGCGCACCACTGCCCAACATGCAAAAGATAGGAAATCACATATCTCTCAGTGCACCGCACCTAATTGCACTTGACAGATGATAATTATCATCAGGGATTTGTTCTACCCACTCACCCAATGAAATCGCTTCATTCGTCGGGATAGATGTTTTGCCACTCCTGGGCTGCAATTAAGGCATTAAATGGGATATGTTCTTACCTTATGTGTGGTAATTAGCTGTGACCTTTAAAATTCAAAGGTCATGCATTAAGATGTTATCAATTATGTGGATCAGGTTCATAAATGTTGCTGTCACAGAGCTTTCATCCGTGGAAACTATGTTAATTACAGTAACAGCCGGAGAAAAGGAGATAGTATTGAAATATGTTAGATATGCAGATTACTGTAGAAATCTTCAGTTTAGTGGATTCGCAGCACAGTATTCATAGTCCTCGGCTTGGCCAGAACCCTCTGAATATTTAGAAGATGCAACATAGGATTTGGGGGGTTGAGTAAGCTGCAAACATCTGTGCATCCTGTGATTTATAATGTATTTATAATGGCATAATTACAGTCTAAAATGCATTAATTTCAATAGCAGCCTTGCATGCATTTAGCCTATGCCAATTATACAAATGGGGTGAACAATATAATAGAAACATCAACATAATGTAGTAGTTCATCATTACCAACAAATCAACAAATACTAGCTTCATAAAAATATAATTTATTGATGGACCACTGTGTTTAGCTTCAATTGTATGTTGGACAGTAAGGATTTAAAAATGGCTGACAGAAATTCCAATGTATGTTTGAAGTCCAGAAACAATGTTATTAGCCAATATCAGCCTTTGATATTAGCTGTTTCATCATCATTTATAAAAGCCAGTACATAAATTAAAAAGGAAGAGATGTGAGAAACACCCTTCAACTATTTTATGAGTGTCGACACTGCATAGATTGCCCACCAGAGGGCGCTCTGTAACTTTCCTGCAGTACCCCACCAATTACCACCAAACAGTACTGCCAGGAGTTCTCGAGTATTCCAAGTAAAGATTATATTTAATTAGCATTGTTATATTATGTTAATGAGGACAATTATTGGGGAAATCTATTTGCGTTTGAAAGAAAAAACAATATTGGCCGACATATCAGATTTTTAAATCACCAAATATCAGTGTGGGTATCGGTAAAACCTGATATTCGTTGTTTTCCAGTCTTTCCAGTCTTATTTTTTAATGTTAAATCCTAATTATTATATATCTTGTTCAAAATGTAGTATTTGCCCAATTTAGGCGATTATTTTCAAAAAAGAAAATCAATATAAATATAGTCAGATTTTTAGAATTGTTGATACTGAAGTAATATGTATCAGTTCAAGCACCAAACACCCAGTGTCACTTGAGTTCTACTAGTCACTCTTTAAACTAAGTGTTGTGTTTCTCTCTACCAGAATGGCACGGTGCAATGTGAGGCCATCTCCTGCCCTCCCCCTCAGTGCCCGGCGGGCACAGCGCCTGCCTACGTAAAGGGTGCCTGCTGCAAGGAGTGCCAGCGTGAGTGAAGTACCCTTAACCTCAGCACCCTCCTACACTCATACAATCATGGACACAATTGCGCACAAACGCGCACACATAACAGCAAAACAACCTCCATCACCAGATTTAGAGCACATATAACGCCTCCACAAGGGCTGCCTGACAATTGACCAGGGCTCTGCTGTGTTGCTAAGCTACCTCCTAACATGTCTCTTGAGATGAGTCCATCCTTTTTGCATATACATGGACCAATCAATTATTCACTAGCTGGCTTTCAAAACACAGATGGCCACCAGTCACACAGACATGAGCCAGTAAATCTGGGATCGCTGCATGTGATGTAAACTAGTTCCTATTTATGGCATGGCATGTTGAGGCTGTGAGAAAAGTGAAGAGGAAGGGAATGTGAAGGGTCTAAAACGATGCTCATAATCACACTGGCAATAGTGTCTCCATAAATGTCCATTTATTAACTTTTGAACACTGATATGTTCTAGCTGGATAAATAATTCCATTTCATCACATTGCTACATAGAGGGTCTGTTTTTTTTTTCTTTTTTCCGAAAGACTTTGAGCTAAGCAATGAACTCTTATTAGCCTCTTCACCGCAGCACTCTGCATCTCATATTCTCTCAATTCCCCTCTCAATAAAAATGGATTTCAGTGGGTATTATCGTATTATCTTTTTTTTTTTATATTCTGCTGATAGTATCCCAAATGAAACTTTAACAGATGTGATATATTTTCTTTTGAGAGGCAAAAAGAACTGCCCGCCAACTTATAGAACACAATCTAGCACATGCATTAAGCAAAGGAATTTATTACCGTACGTCTGAGTGTTTTCAATAACTGGTGTTCTCACCTGAGATGTGTTGAAGGTTACACACCATATGAGCGATAGAAAAATGTACCAGACTTTGTGCGTGTGTATAGTATTTCTTAGCAGATTTGACTCCACGTCTTGTGCAGGCTGACTTCATTTGAGAGCTTGTTCATCACAAGCACCCACGCACTTCTGCCATCCCTCTTCCTGCTTTGCTTGTAAGCGAATGACACAGTGAAAATGCTGCAAAAGCAAATAATAGACAAGATTTACTCTCTATCAGGAAGAGACAATTAGTCTGGGATGCTAATCATCTCGTGTCAGCATCTTTTTCCACGGAACCATAGGCCTAGGCCGATACGCAGGGGCTTTAAGCGGGACTGTAAATCTGCTGCCGTGTTACCCAAATACAAACACGTAGCAAGTAATGCCCTTAAACTCAATATCCCTATTCTCCCTTGTGTCAATGAGGTAGACAAACACACAGCTAATTACACGTGCTCTCGCTTTGGAGAGAAGTGTACCGCAAGTTTCCTTGCTACAAAGACATGATTTGCTCTCCAAATTAAAGGCTTATCTCACAGCGCCGGGCCTTCCAGGGAGGAGTTCTGAGTCTCTATGTTTTTGTGTGTGATTGTCTGTCAAGTAGAGCGCCAAATGGCTGTTTCAGAAGTCCTTCGCTTTTATGATACGCTGCTTTGTGATAGGGCCTGACCTCCAGTGTCAATCATTTCTCCCCCTTGTATCAGACTAGATCTGTCTGACCCCAACTGCTCATCAAACACACGCTTTCTGCCCATGTGATTATTTTAACCTCCACCACCCCAAGAACCCCCAGTTACATGAAATGGCTTCTCCTCAGTGCCTCACTCAGGAGTGAGGCACTTTCTCCCTCTGCATATTAATTATGCCATCACTTCTTCTGTTGTTACTTAATTGAGTTTGACACGCTTGATTTGGTTCAACTGTATTCACCTGAGGGCTTTAAAAAAAAGGCCTCACAAAAAAGGTGTAAATAATAAGGACAGAGTGCGTGATGCACGTTAAACAGCACTGTTAAATAACTCTTGACATCTAACTAGTGTTTGCGGTCACAGCTGAGCGGAGACGCACAGATTTGGGTTCAGCAGTTACAAAAAGAGAACAGTATGAGTCAAATCTTTTTCAGATGAAACAAGAAAAAACCTCACAATCTGAACAAGAGCCTCTATTCTTTACAAACAACAGCAATTCAGATCAACTTCCTGTTAGATCCACATCATCTACGAATTTCAAGAAAGGTCCCCTAAACAATTTCTAACACTCCTTACTTTCCCTTTAAATTATTATTTCAAATGGAAGCTCTCACATCATTTGTCTTTTTTAGTTTGTAGCATTTGGTCATTTTCTAAAACAATGCTGTTAGCTTTGTGGCATTTAAAAAACAAGGGTCAAAATGTTTGCTTCCTTTTTTTGAAGTAATTTTGTTTGTCTGGATATAAACCAAGTAGAAATGAGCTCGGGGCTTGTGCAATTTCTGTTTGAGATAATTTTCTTACATGTCACTCTGACCTCTTTTCAAAATATTTGAATCTTTCTGCTCTGCCAGCCTGGAGGAAAATAGTGTCTCTTTATCAACTGTGTATTTAGCTTACGGGCGTGGTGCATTTTTTAAAAATTATATTGATTTAACTTGGTGGGAGTTACACATGCTTGCATTGACCAGTTCTTAGTGTATTCACCACCTGCAACACATGCCAATTTCCTCTGCTTAGTTTTCAGCAACCGAATTGTTGTTCCTTGTGTGTAGCTTAAACTGTGAGCTCTCTCATGATAGGATGTAAGCAGATTATAAAATTCTGATGAGCCTTTTTTTAAAGAGCCTTTTGTCCTCATTATTTCAGCCGCTGGTTGTGAGGTCTAGTAAATTAGTTATTGATGATGCGATTTTACAATTCAGATTAAATTTGTATCGGAATTCTTCAGAGAACATGCAGATCCCAAATCTTTTCAAGCCGTATAAGAAGCTCCAAACCAGAATGAAGCATCTGTTCTTCCTGGGGTGAAAAAGTGGTTACCCCTAATTTGGGTGATATTGTGACAGATTGTTTGGCTCTTTTAATTATTTTCCCACATCATACTAAATCATTTGTATGATGTCAGAGAATATATACACTGCTCAAAACATTAAAAGAACACCTTTTCATCAGAGTATAGCATCAGGTCAGTTGAACCTCTGGGATATTAAACTGGCTAGTTAAGTAGCAGTAGGGTGTGTGGGGGGGGGGGGGTGGTTATTAATTAGTTTCAGCTGCTTTGGTGTTAATTAAATTAATAAGAGGTGCACCAGAGGTACAACAGTTAGACAACTTACAAAACAGGAATGGGTTTACTGTTAGCTGCCACTCTGTTGCTTTTGCTAGTTTTTGCAGTTCTGGATCCTACAAATTCAATTACACATTAATACGTGCCATTACCAGAAGGTTTGCTGTGTCTCCCGGCAGAGTTACAAGAGCATGGAGTAGATTTCAGGGGATGGGTAGTTACTCGAGGAGAGCTGGACAAGGCCGTAAAAGATCCTTAAACCATTAGCTGGACTGGTATCTGCAGGAACAGGATGAGCACCGCCAGAGCTACAAAATGAGCTCCAGCAGCACACTGTGTGAATGTCTCTGACCAAACAATCAGAAACTGACTTCATGAGTGTGGCCTGAGTGCCCAACGTCCACTAGCGGGCCCTGTGCTTGCTGCTTGGCATGATGGAGTCTAATTGGCATTTGACATAGAATATCAGAATTTGCAGGTCCACTACTGGCGCTCAGTGCTTTTCACAGATGAACACGTGCCAGAAATGAAACGTTCTGGAGAAGCCATGGAGAACATTATGCTCCCTGTAATACGGTTCAGCATGACTGGTTTCCTGGTGGGTCCATAATGATCTGGGGAGGCATATCCATGGAGGTATGCACAGACCTTTGCTAGGCAGGCTGACCACCATTAGTATCAGCACAACATCCTTGGACCAATGTCAGACGTTCCTGGTGCACAGCAATACCCGGCCTCATGTGCTGAGGATATGCAGGGAGTTCCTGGAGGATGAACATTGTCAGACATAGAAGACACACATGCACTTAGGGGCCACACGAATCACTCAATACTATTCTGAGTTATTCTGGGTTGAAATTTCAGCAAAATGGACTAGCCTGCTGCATCATTTTTTCAATTTGATTTTTGGAGTATCTTTGAATTCAGCCCTCTGTAGGTTGATGATTTTCATTTCCATCAAGTGATGTGGCATCCTGTCCTTCCAAACACATTACCCAGTCCATATGACTCATGTATACAGCATGATTTTTTTCGTATTGAGTGTTGCTTTCAGTGTGTCCCTTTATTTATTTATTTTTTATCAGTGTATATATGAAGAGACAGTTTTGATCATTAGGTTCGATCTAAGGTTTTACCGATGAATTAATTTGAAAAGAAAGAACAATAAAGAAAATTCAAATAGAAAGTCATTATTTTCCAATTAATGAGGTTATGAATTCAAAATGAATTATGGCCATCTTGTTTTTCTTTGCATCTGATTGGTAGCTGAAGACATTATTAACTTATTAAGGGCCAATCTGAGAAACCAGAAGGCTTTTGTGCTGGCTTAACCTATGGATAATATTTTTTTGAAGGGACCATGTCCAGTGGATATCCAGGCAAAGACTGTGTTATTATGTGGTCCTTCTTTACAAATGCAGATACATTTTTAAAAAGCTAATAAAAATTGTTTTTGTTTTAACTACAATAGATTACAATAACACCATATAAGAAAGTGCCGTCCCTGCTTTGCTCTCTGTGGAGATCATTGATCTGCATGTAGCATGAGCCTAGCTGCTCTACCTTATCAATAGAATCTGAATACTTATATGCAAAAAAATTAAAAAAATAAATAATGAAAATGTATTCAACAGCTGTTCAAACTCAAGCATCATAAGTACTGAGCTGTTATCTGTTTGGAAATGAAAGGTGTCATTGTTCGCATCCTTCCATCTCCAAACCGGCAACTGCAAGCGCTTTGTTGCATTCTTCATTTGTATTTTTTTACTCACATGTAATTCTACGGCTTTCACACAGTTCAGCTAACATTTCTGCTACTCTTTGGTGATCATTAAATATTGTCTAAATGTCTTACACCAGCACATTTTTTGGACCTGCATTAATTAATTAAAAATAGGTCACAGCCATTTAAAAAAGGGAGATGTAGGGTTATTATCCTGTGCAGATGATAAACCAACGCAGATTTTAAAAAGCACAGTGTTTTTTTATATGCATATTTGTTTAATATTTGTTCATTGTGCCATTTATTTATTTAATTATTTATTAGTGTGCATTTATGTGTCTGCTAACAGCTGTGTGCTTATTTGGTGGAAGAGAACTGGTGGAAGGAGATCAGAAAGCTGTACGTGACTCTGCTGGCAGGTGCCTGCTGTTTGAATGCAGGGTAAGTCATATCAGCACACACACACAAAGGCACGCACGCACGCAAGCAAACACACACACACACACACACACACACGCAACCATTTTCATTTAGAAGGCTCTTTAGAACGTCTTTTAGAAAGAGACCCCACATTACCTCATGGACCTAAACACTTCAAGTCTCCTAATTTCCATATTGCTCTGCATGACAGCTTACTAAATACTTACGCTGTGTGACCCACTGTGGCAGGATACAATACCCCATCTTGTGAGTTTGTCCGCTTTAGCTCAATGTCATTGATCTGTCTTGTCGCTGTCCTACAAAAAAAAAAGAAAAAAAGAAAAGAAGACCGAATCCCACTACTCAATTTTACATTTGGAGGCCAAAATGTAAAAAAGAGGTGTACCTGTCAGTCAGAGAATGCCACATCTATTCTTCAGTACCAATCATCAGATACCACAGTGGTCCCAAATTAGATTCATTCCCCAATTATTCAAAGTATTTGCTTTTGTCTGCCTGGTGCACCAGATGGGTGGGTTGCTCACTTTTGGGAGTAATTCGCTTGATGACATTATTCCAGGCAGGCCCAATCAATCACAGAAAAATGATTTGAAGTTTTTAATCACCCAGCTCTATCATATCATCCAGCTCCTCCATGAATTCTGCAAAGCTCCATTAGAATCTGCAGTTTCAGACAGCTGCCTGGCTTGCTTGCCCACACCTGGCCCATCTGTAGTCCCAGTTAACTGACTGGCAGTCACAGGCAGATCAAAGAAGTGCTGTCAGTCAGCCCACTGCTGCAGACTTCTGCAGGCTTCCCCTGACAGCTGCTTGTCACGTCTCTGATCTTCTGTCTGCCTGCTGGCTGCGAGGGAGGTGGGTTGGGTTGGGGGCGCAAGTTTTGGGTGGTGGGTGGCCAGAAGTAGATGGCAAGGCTTGTTTGGAAAGTTGTTTGGGGACTTTTGGGGGAAGACTTTTGGGGACTTTTCCTGTGCGTTAGCCGAGATCATGGCATATTATAAGGACGCCTTTTTAACCTCCTGATTTAAGGTTATCCTCAGGAAAACATTTGTCCACTAGGAATTAACAGAGGAGGTCTGTTGTTTTTGTCGAACTATCTGTGGCAATCTGGAATCTAAAAGGGCATCAGTTGGAGGTACAAGGATGAGATCATCACATTGGCCTGCCAAAGGCATGCAGGGAAACAGAACCTCATAATCAGGTTTTACACTCTGACTAAACGCACATGCAGGGATAATCTAGAAGATTGATTCACTGTTAGTGTAATAAAGATGCATCATAAATCCTGATGTAAATTGCTGAGGATAACAAGAGAAGAGGAGCGTGCTTTCCCCTTCTTCTTTCCCTTTCCACAGGTAGTTTTTTTGGGGCGAAAAAATGTGATTGACCAATGAGTAATTGGCTTATAATGAACACAGCGGGAGCAGGGAGAGTGGGGCCATGAAAGAGGAAACACAATGGATGAATAATTACCTATATAATTACCTCTGGGCCCTTAGGAAATGAAGGGGGCAGAGTTCACCTAAGAAGTTGCTGACAAGGATTTTGCCTCCTCTCTTCACAGGACAGGACCATGCATCGAGTGGTCCCCAGTGAGCCTTGTCCCGAACTCAACTGTCCGGAGTCGGAGCAGATTGCTTTGAGTGGCAGATGCTGTAAAGTCTGCAGAGGTATTGAAGAAGCATGATCTTATGCTTCAGAAAACATGCAAGAATTCAGACCTGTTAATGCACGAAACCTCTACACCTTTGGAGCATGTTTATATGCTAACTGTTTGATTTTGACATTTGATTTCAGGTCATTCAGCATGCCATTTACACTTTTTTTTTCAAATGAATTCTCCCTACAAGGTGGTTGGGTAGTTTTTCTGTTCTTTTCTGTAAGAAAGATCTCCTTTATTTTAAAATAAATTGCAGCAGTTAAAAAGTGCATGTGAAAATTGAATTGAAAGTTGTAAAATAATAAGTATGGTCTTTAAATTTTTACCTACTCATTCATAGTGCAGCGTAGTTTTCTGTGAAGTCAGATGTAGAGAGCATATTTGAGTGTATTGCCCTCATATACTAGTAAAAACACCACAGTTAAGATACAGTGGAGGGAAAAAAAAAAGGTGTGGAGCTATGATATAACCTTTCGACTGCCTCTGTATGCCTCTGTCACTCCTCTCCTTTTCTATCCTCTGAGTCTCACCCTTTTCCTCCCTGCCTCCCGCAGGTCATGACTTCTGCTCAGAGGGCAACGGCTGCATGGAGAACTCTGACTGTGTGAACCTGGAGGCAGGAGACTGCTGTGTTTGTAAGGATGGCTTCCGCCCACTGCGAGATGATAATGCCTACTGTGAAGGTATAGTGTGGTTCTGAATAACAATCTCTGTGTTAAAGTTTAGCAACTAGCTGCTCCCAAAAGCAGTGCCCAGACAAAGGCGAAGGTTTTATAGATTTATTGAAAAGCAGAAAACTTGAGTGGGAGAGGGTTTAGAGACAGAGGAGTGAAGAAAGGGTGGTCGGGGTTAGCAGTGTATGTCGGGTGAAAAGCATGATGAGGAGCTAAGTACACTGTAGACTGTCAAATTAGGAATAATGTGCAGAATGGAAAGTTAACATTGGCAACAGGAAGAACAGGAGAAACTGGACCTGAAGTAATGGAGCAGCTAACTCTGGAGGTGATGGTGGGATCTGGCAGGGACTGAGAGGAGAGACAGTTTGATATACGTGGTGAGACAATATTATGTTGTGGTGCCAACCACAGGGGTTTAAGGCTTGAGAGGAATAGCTGTGCACACAGATATGTGTTCACGACAGGACCAACAGACTAACAAGAGACGGAAAAGTCTTGGGACAAAGCGCTTTAGAGATGACATTTGCAGCGAGGTGGAAAATGAGGACGTGTTGATCAAAGGATATACTGGATATAAGTCTCTTTATTCTCTCTTACTTTTCTTATTTTTGATGTATTCATTCACTTGTTCAGTGTTCCAAAAGTAATACAGCATTTTTATAATGTTTTATATGAATCATTTTCCTTCCTTTAGACATGTCAACATAATAATAGCCAAGATTTTTCTTTTACTTCTGCAGAGGTCATCTTACAGTCAGTGTGACAGCTTATTTTCCAGCTTCCAAAAGAGTGTTTATGCTTTTCAGTCTGGAGAATTATAAAACGAACGGTACAAAATTTGCCTCAGGCCTTTGGTAGATAATCCAGCACAAAGAATCCAAAACATTAGGTCACCGTTTCTAAATGTTTATAGTTTTTATTTTACGAAGCAGCAGGTTATTTGTTTCCTAGTTTGACTGAATCTCATTCAAAAGGTTACCCCCCACTCTGTACCCAAAAATGTTTGGAAGCTGTAAATAAAAAGAGAATGCAGCTATTTCTGTAAATCATTAAAACCATAAATACTTGTCGAATGTAAAATTGTTTTGATGCTGACAACATGTGTCAGACTGAGAGAACAAAAGACTAAAAAGATGAAGAAGGCTTCAGCACTGTGAACGACTAATAGGGAAAATAGGTGAACATAGATTAACTTAAAAATAATGTACCTCAGTCTTAAAATAAGATAATTTGGGTTTTTCATCCTCAGGTTGCATGATGTCATTAAAGGATTCAGGGAATCTGGAGAAAGTGCTGTACAGGGGACAAGTAGAAACCAGCTCTAAATGGCCATAATCTTTGTGCCCTCAGGTAGCACCGCATTAAAAACAGACTGATTCTCTAGCTGAAGTCACTGCACTGCCTTCGGGAGCAAAAAAAACATTGCCATCAAACAGCTACAGCAAATAGTTGCTTGCAAAATCAAAATCATGGACTCTGCGTGCGTTTTGATGCATAAATGGCAGAGAAACCGTTCTGTACAGTATTGATGATAGTGTGAGGTCCATAAATATGAGTAACTTCCCATTGATGCAAATGATAAGGCCGGTTTTGGAGCAACATACTGCATGTCGCCATCAAGATGATGTCTTATTCAAGGACAGCTTTGCTAAACCACATCCTGCATTTCTTTAAACTTTTTGGCCTTGTAATCAAACACTCTTTGAAAATATTCAGCTTGTTATGAAAAATAGAAAAGAATTAATGGTCCTCATTCTAAAACTCCAAATTTGTTATTTAATGTGTGATGTTTCAAGCACACCTGCTCTTCATCAGACTGTGAAACACAGGGCAGCGGCATCTTATCGCCTGTGACAGGTCACATGATTGACCGTGATTGATAGCAATAACATCTCATCAGAACCGAATCGTGCCTTGTATAGGACAAACAGTTGATAAATAATCTACAGGTCATGCATATTGTAACTCAGATAAAGGTGCCTCAGCAGACAAAAGCACATTATGAAAAAACAAAAACTACAGATTAGGCCCCGAAACCCAGGAGAGTTAAATAATTTGCAAATGACTGCATTCTATTCAAATGTTATACTTTGCTGGTTTTATGCTTAGTTGGTTAAAGTGTCTGTCTTGTAAACAGGAGATCCTGGGTTCAAATCCCAGCAGTGCCTGATTCGTAGTGTTTGTTGTCATTGTTAACAGAAGGTAGATTTCCACAATTTCATGTACAATGACAATAAAGGGCTCTTCTATTCTATTCTGTTCTTTTCTCTCACACAGCCTGGCTTTCATCAGAGTCAGCTTTTTATATTTTTTACCTAAAAAATGGAAACACATGGGAGCATTTTCAAAATATTTTCCCATAAACCCCTTAGTTGAATTCACGGTCTTTTTTTTCACATAATCCTGTTGTGATGGGAAATGTAATCCTCTCATTATCTGTGTCCACATCAACAATAACTGCTTTTCATAATACAATTCGAGACCCTTGTGTTTGTCTTCTTAGTCAGTAGATTAATTTCTGATATAAAAACAAGCTCAGAGTTTGTATGCGTGCATATGTTATTGGTCTCTCTGTTGGCCATCAGATCGCTCATCACTGAGGTCATGTATTACTAAATGCCTGCAAAGGTTCACAAGTCTGCTGCCTTTCTGCGCTTTTAAGTCAAACACAATGGGATTAATTATATCAGCGCTCTTCCTTTACACAAAGAGACACTGTTTTCCTTTATTGCCTTTTGAACGCCCCACACTTTTAAATTGCCCGACTGAAAAACATTGTCTCCACCTCATTGAGCAGGTCATTTTATGTTGATGGGGAAGCTATGAAAAACCTGCTCACAGAGTTCAAACGTTCACCCTAGAAATTGATGGCGCTTCAGATGAATTTCTCATCTGCCATCTTGGTGGAATCTTACCAGATGCGTCATTAAAAAATGATAACTTTATCATCTCCAATGCTATCCTGTACTAAAAAATGTAGCAAACATCATGTAATAACTGCTACCCCTGTGTATCTCTGGCGTTAATGAGCAAACAGGGTATCAAAGTTATTTAGATTCATCTGCTTTTGACCCCGACAGCTGCCCTGTCAATATTCAGCCTTCTTGATCTTTCTTTTTTTTATTGTGTCTGTGCAGTTTTAGACCCTCAGTCCGTGAGTTCATGCCTACAGTCATCGCTCTCTCTCTAATGTAATCAAGATGTGGCTCAAGTGTCACATAAGAAGACAGGCTTCTTATTTTATTTTTTTTTAAATTGTAACAAGGGTGTAAAATGATTGAGTAGTAGTACTTCACAGCTTCAGTGGATCGCACATTAATTTAGTGATATGAGCAGTTGTCCAGGTAATTAGTCAGAGGGAATCTGCATAATTACAGATACTATCTGACTTAAGTTAATGAGGAGTAATGCTGTGGGTTGCAGGTTGTAATCAAATAGTAAATGCAACCCTCATCCACCATAGCAGTGTATCTCCATGATGTCCTTGAAAACAACATTCAGACAATGGTGGGCAATAACGAACATTAACGGCAACGCCGTTGCTGAGCTGGAACCAGTGTCACAAAAGGTAAGTGTAAACAAATGTGCAACAGGAATAATTTAGCACAGTGCTAAATAATTTGTTTTCTTAAACATTATTGCTGTTGTGTGTTTGTTTACACTTACCCAGTAATAAATCCCACAGTGGTGGAGGTACTTGCTACTTACTAAACATTAGTTATAGAATATGAAACATTGTACAGCTTCTCAACAGGAGAAAGGAATTTAAAATGCTATACCTAAACCATTACCTTGAAAATATTGCTTAGATTGTAGGCAGTACATCAGGAAGATTGTGAGTATGAGTCAGACTGAAGCAAAGGATTTTGTATGATAACAAGAAGACTGAATTTAAACTTTCTGTTGAATTAGTTACATTAAACTTATCTAAACCCCTGTTTTGAAGGCTCGTGTTGAGCTTTTTGGTTGCCTTCATATTTGTATTTTTTAAGTAGACGTTCAAAGTGAGCATCAAGCAAACATTTAATTATATGCAACATTCACTGACTGGAGGAAATTTGTTTAACATTTAAACCTATTTTCTGCACATTCCAGCACATAAAATAAAATATTTTTTTGTGTTTACACTCAGTCTTTCAAATAAATGCAAGTAAAACACAACAGAAAATAAATAAAATCAAAGACTAGCGGTCCTGTTGCTCTATTTTCACCTGTATAGCAGGAGTGACGTAGGCGGAGGTTTACCCTGGTGCAGGTGTGCCGCAGCGGTCAGTGGAACAATCTGCGAGTTTCTCTGTGAATTTCACATTACGTGGTAGCGCACTCAGTGCTTGCTCGGAAGTTAAGCGGTTTTCTTCCCACTCAGTGAACAGCGGACACTAATGTTTTTGTCACTTTTTATGGAATCAAACTCAAAGTAAGGTCAGTTCTTCCATGCTTTAAACGCTGCACGCTCATACTCTCTCCCGCACTCGATATATGATCCGTTGTTGATCTGCACACAGCTGTTGCCACGAACGTCGCACTTGCTTACGTCATTGTCATGAGACACTCTCGCAAGAAAATCACGGTTTTAGTAACGCAGTAACGCAACGTGCTTACGGGAAAGTAACAGTAATCTAATTACCGTTTTTGCAATAGTAATCCCTTACTTTACTCGAAAAAGTAATCGGATTACAGTAACGCGTTACTGCCCATCTCTGTTGTCCACACAAGAAGTATGTGAAGTAACAATATTATAAAAGCAGGAAAACTCTTGCAAGCATAGTTTTAGTGTTATAGGCATAAAATATCTGCGCTGACCATCTTAAGACTTTGAATTGATGGAAACTGAGCTTTCTTTTAGGTCCATGAATGGGTTTCACCTCTCATCCGAGGGACTTCTTCAGTTCTAAGAAGTCCCTCAGATCATGTGACCCTTACGACTCGCATGATAATAGGGTGGGTCAACTGCTCTCAGGGCCACCTCAAGTGACAACCCCCCACTGGAGGTTAAATACCTGCTA